TTTTTTTTTTTTTTTTTTTGCTTAACCAGCATTTTGACTTCGTAGTAGTTTACGTGATTTATTAAGTGTCTTACAACCGTTATGAATGATATTCTAAGGAGGTCTTTCAAAAGTGGTCAGGGTGATAATCTTATAGTCCGGTTAAGCTCTTCGGCTGTCTGCTTTAACAGAGAAATTCATGGTCGGCTTTATTCAACGGCAAGAAATCCTGAAAAAAGATGTATTGTTTTTGTGGTAGAGATTGTTTTCAGTTATGGTATTAAAAAAGCAGTTTTTTTTGTATATCTGTGTAACTGATTGCATTTTTTGCTTTTTTCCTCCAATCTTGATCTAGAATTTGCACTCCTGTACTCACAACATCTCTTCCAATTAGTTCCATATATTTAACAGAAGGAGATCGCCTGAATTCTTGAAATTTTTTAACAGAAGACACGGATTTCTGCTCATTTATAACTAGTCCTTCACTCAGTATGATAATTTTTGTGCTCTTTCGATTTTTCATCGTTTTATTAAAAGCTTTATTTATTGAATCTGAACCCTTTGCGGAAAACTTCAGGTGATGGCGTTTTTTGTTATCTAAAGTATTTACGCGTTAGCAGCTCTCGTAAAATTGTTTATGTGAAAGCTAAGTAGTTATGTTTTAATATTACTTCCTGAAATGTGCTGACTTAGGCTTCCCAGTTTCTCATGGTTTAGTGGAATCTACAACCGATCCGGTTTGACATGGTTGTATGGAATTCTTATAAGAAAGTGGTTCTAGATATCTTTTTATTATCGCTTTTCAAAAGTTACATTGCGGTTCAGTGAATTCTAAAATCTTTGAAAATTTTTTCTTGTTTTATTTTACAGGGCTTTTGTTGTTTGAGTTTTCATTTCCTCTCAAAGAAATTGCGTGAGGGTTTTTATATCCCGTCTTTTTTTTGCTGTTCTACTCGTATAGCCTGCTTTAAAATACTTGGAAAAGGTTTAGTGGACGAGTTTATTGTTTAGGGATGTACATATTAAACTAGTCTTAGAATCTTTGGAGAAATTGTGTTTCACATAGAAAGGTCAGATTTGAATACAGCAAGTCATACACTTCTGCCATTATTTTTTTGATTCGTTCTTTAACTTATGATGGGCAACATTGTTTTAGGAAACTGCTAATTTATTCAAATGTGATGAATGTAAATTTTCAGATTTCTTTTTCTTTCCTGTAATAGACCGTATTATTGCTGATCTCCCTTTTGGCAAAAAATATGGAAGAGAAAATGACTCGGTTAAGGTCCTGAGAAGGATTTCGCAAATTATAAGGTAAGTTCTTAAGATATTTATGCGATCTAATAAACAAAAGCTTTGACCACAAAATGATTACAGAAATAAGCGAAAGAGCTGTGTATTGCTTGTGATGTGTATTCTAAACAATTAAATAACCAAATAAATGCACAATACACAAGCTGTCTTATACCAAAGTGCATAATTCTTGAAGCTTCAGCATTCAGTGGTTTAGAAAGTCAGTATTTCAAAACCAAAGAGTTAGTAGTTTATTCCTCCCACGAGTTTGATACTCTTTGAAAGTGTCATTTGGGTGAATTTTGGCTTAATATAACCGGTACTGGAAGTTACTAGCTTATTTACACCTAAATTAAATCTTTTTTTTTTCTGATAATTGACATATTGTATTGGATTATCTTTCTTACAGAACTCAAAAGTTTTATCTGGGATAGAGCTGGGCAGGTTGATGCAGGAAATGATAAAAAGTGGGGTAAGAAACTCATTGCGGTGTTGATTACAGTGGAGCAATGAAACTGTAGTTTTGAAAATTACTGCTTCCTCGGGGCTTTGGTTAATTATTGCATTATAATTTTTTTTGAAAAGTTGAAAAGTTTTGTCAGAATTTGTCTACTATGTGAGAACAAATGTGGTCCAAATTTAAGAAACAACATAACTTCTTCCTATTATAAAAATTATAAGTATGAAAGACAGTGAGGTTATAGGGAATAAAGAAAAAATGTTTGTTAACAAATGATTTACTTTGCTTTGCTTTTGAAAATAACTGCTTAATTTTCTTGTTTGGGTTCAAAATGTGCCTAGAAACAAGGTAGTCAAAAATGAGTTTTTGTCTCAGTACTTATTGTGATAGGGTATAAGGGATTAAGTGTCTTCTGATGCAAATTTGTTTGCTGCTATGATGTAACTGTCTTTAAATTCTGAATTAAAAATTATGTACAATCCAATTAATTAGGTGAGCTAACCACTGTGGTCATTACAAAAGTTTTATTTTTCACTCTGTGAATAATCTTGTCATCGTGAGGTTGAGTTTGAACGCAATGGCGACCTTTTTGACAGTCTAGGGATACTACCAAGTTTACCATAGTTTTTTAAGAAGAACTAGTCGGAGGAGGGGCAGTTGTCGCTGCTAAAAATTTTTCAAGAAAACAATTTTCTACCACTTTTTTTAACTTGAGACAGTACTTATTACTTATTGTTATCGCGTGGTACTACCGCTAACTTTACTACCGCTAACTTGCAAAAAATCTAAAAGACGCATTGAATTTTCATTGCCATCATTATTAATTAGTATATTCAAAAAAGTAAATTTTTGCACAATTTTCTGCATTTTAAATTACAGTAGTCAGCTTTCGAAATGGCTTTATTGAGCTACTATAACCAGATGACATATTACAGTAGATTTTTACTAACTGTCTTATTTTTCATACCATAATGTACCTCTCCAGTCTACCTTATGATGAAACTTATAAGGTTTTGTAGAGGAGGATGTTCAATATACTATTCCAATTATGAAGACATGTTAAAGTGATTTTTTGAGTTTGTTTCTAAAAAAGAGATTTTACACTATTTTTCAAGTTTAAAATAGATAAATACTGATAACAGAATTTATGTTCTGTCCGAAAAACCTAAAAAATATTCTAACCCAGAACTGAGTGAGTTGGAAACTTTCAAAGATGCTTTTGTTCAAATAGGAGTCACTTTTCGATATTGTTTTTGGTAGAGGCCAAAATTTTAAGGAAAGGACAAGTTAAGCAGGTTCATTGGTCATTACCGGTTTTTTTGTCAATGTTTGAAAACTTTAAAAAAAATGGATTTTCAAATTTAAAGTTTCAAAAACTGTGCGGTTTAATGTCAAACTCCGTGGAATTCTATACACTATATATGTAATACGTAAAAGTCTCAACAAAAATTCGACTTTGAATTTAGAAACCAAAAAATGAAAAAAAAATTCTTTCTTTGATTACATTTCAAAAAAATCCGAAAAATTTCTCTTTTCACGCGAACTTTGTTTAGCTCAGTTTCTATGACTTCGTTATTTCGTAAAACTTTTCAGTTTTTTTCCAAATGAAACGCGAATGCAGTAAAAATGCATATCAAGAGCGGAAAATTGACTTCCTCGCATGGTTTTAAAGAAGTTCAGTGTAAATTTCTGTCTTGACCTTGCGGTTATAACTCTGGTCTCTAGTTTTCTTGGTTACGGCTTTTTTTCTTGTTGGAAGAGAAGGAGGGGGGGAAAGGATGGGATGAAGAGGAGATAATTCTACATAGAATGGTTTCATTTGGAGATAAATAAAGCATTTTTTTTCATAACGCGATTACGCAGTTTAGTATATGTGGTAGTTATACAAGAATATTTTGTAAGATCTAAAATTTTAAATCTGCACAATAAG